AAAAAACTAATCTTTATATTTTATAATCAGAGCAAAACTACAAACAATAAAAGTCTTTCTTTCCTAATTTATAATCAGGAAAATGCTGCAGGCAAACAAAATGCTAATTTTGTTAATTTATTCATCACCAACTATTTTTAATTACTCTTTATAATCACTGTTTTATAATCGAAGTAGAACTCCTGACATATTTTATTAGTGTTTTAAAATTATAATTAGTCAAACTTGAGGAAATAGAAAACTAATATTCTTATTTTCTGTACCAATGTAAAACTTAAGATTATAAATCAGGAAAAAACTCTAAGCTAATTTTGTTATTTTATTAATCACCAACAATGCTATAATTGCTATCTATAATTAGTGCTTTATAATTATTATTAGTTAAAACTCAAAGCAATAGAAAACTGATCTTTTTTTTCTGAACAAGGAAAAACTCCAGATAATAAATCAGGAAAAAACTCCAGACAATAAAAAAAGCTATATTTGTAATTTTTTTTAATTAATTGCTAACAATGTTTTATTTACTTTTATTTTGCTTACTTAGAGCTGCTTCGCTCATAGATCCTAGTATGCCATGCTGAAAATAGTCTATGTAACATACTATTAATTATTCTGTTTTTGTAGCAAGCTACTGAGTAGATAATTATATTTTTAGAGATGCTTTAGTGGCAAAGGTTAGGTGAGTTTAGTAACATTTGCATGAAGCTTGAATGTTGATGTTCTTTTTTGCATATATGTAATGTTTGATTGTTATATTATAGATGTCATCTTTCGATGTTGCATTTATGTATGTAGCTTTGCTTATTTCGATGTTTCTATTATCTTCTTCTTACTATCTTCTTATCAGGAAGCCTAATTACAAAGAATTTTGTTTCAGTGAGAAATTTCAAGTAGTCACTGCATTTGCTACCAAATCAGTAAAAAAATAATAATAAATAGTTAATATAAAACGAAAATAGTTCGGATCGTTTTTATTGTTAAACAGAGTATTTAGAAATGTTCGCTCTTTTTTTTTATTCCATTTTTCGCTATCAATAAAATTTGATTTAAAATCAATTTTTTTAAATTGATTACACATAAATTAGTTTAGCTTTTACATGATCAATTTATTCATGCAGAACTAATTTTAATAGTAATGAAATTTTCTATTTTACGAATACCCATACTTTTTCTTCAATTTTATTTTGTTCTAAAGCTAGTTTGCTTAGAAATAAAATATAAAATCGATTTTCTATTTGTTTTTTTATATTCCATTTGTTTTCCTATTTGATTAATTTATTACAGAATTTTCCTTTGAATTCATGCCAAATACAATGCTAAATCAATTGGCAATTCCTTAAAACATTTTATTTTGATATTAAACTTATAAGTTATACTCAAACAAATATTGAAACTTGTTTAAATCAATTGCACACATTATTTGCATACGCATTTTTTTAATTATTATAGAACTTTCAAATAGAATTTTTTAACCAAATTTATAATCAAAGCTAAAACACTGCCCTTTTTCTTACTTATTATTTCTTAAATTATTTTCTATTGCAAATATTGCAGTCATTGATAAATTTAAACCAAACACCAAAACAGGTTCCCTATTTCTTTACAGAATCTTTTTTTTTTTTTGTTACTTTTGTTGAAATTAATTCTTTAATGAATTTTATCCTTGAAAAGCTTTTATAGCTTACTTTTTTATTCTTCTGTAACCACTTTGAACAAAAACTAGTTTTTTTTAAAACATGAGAGTACATGTTCTTTGTTTTAAACTTTTTTCTTTGCCTTAAATTGACTCATTCATCCAACGCAGCATTACATTTATGCATAAATGATTTTTACCTGTTATACACATCAAAATTTCATTATTTTATCTTATAGACCTCTTTAAAAAAAATTTCAAGAGAGGAATTTGAAACGCTTTTAGGTTTAATAAAAAAATAAATATTTGACTTACCGTTCTTGGATCTATTTTTTTAGCTTTTAGCGCATTTTAAAAACGTATGAAAAAGCATTATAAAAGCATTTTAAAGTTAGCAAATGCGGTGACTAAAATACGCCTCTTAATGCCTTGAGAAGAAAAAAAATCAAAAATTACTTTACAAGTCTCTTTTGAGTTTAAAAAAATTATTTAATTTACCTTTTATTTAAAAAGTTTTTAACTAAAAAGCTTAAGAGTTTTAGAGTAAAATCAGTTTATTTTATGATTAAACCAGCATAAAACTGAAATTTTATTAAATAAAGTTCTTTTACTTTTAATTTTTAGTTGTTTTGTCCTATGAAAATAATGATTTAATGATTGATGACCCTAAGAAAATAAATATTTTTAATTATTGATATATTTTAATGTAAAAAAATCTTTTTAATTGTTCAAACAAATTATCCTCCTTACCATTAGAAATCTGAAAATAAATAAAGAAAGCAAACTGTACTTACTCTGAAAAAAATACTTATAATCATATTCAGTGTATAGAGAAAAAGTTTTGCTTACAGTTTTTTAATATAATTCAATTAAAATATTTTATTTATGGATACATTAAACTGTGCGTATAACTTTTTCAAACACATTTTATCCAAAACATACTTAATAGATTCACTTGAAATATTAGCCGATTGCATTGCAAAAATTTCAAGTCAAAAATTTATCGAATCAATTAACGTTAATTTATTCAAACTCAAACCAATGCAAAAATACAAACAATAAATAAAAACGCATTTCTAAACTAATACGAATTAAACTATTTTTTAGGTAATGTGAAAAAAAATTTTAAAAGAGATTTATTATATTTCAAATAAAATAGTTTATTTTTGCAAAACCTCCTTCAAATCATCGAACAGTTTAATTGAGTAACTTATAATTTTTTCAATAACTATAAATACTTTTAATTGATATGAGCTAAAGATATTTTAAATAAAAAAATTTATAAAATTTCAAAAAAAGGTTTAAAAAATCAAATTTTAAAAAATGGGCCATTTTATTTCATTTGAAAAATTTATTTCTTAAAACATCTTTCAAATCATCAAAGAATCGAATAATTTTATAATTCATTATTTATTAGTGAAATTTAAAGTGAAACCGAAAGAAGTGAAACTTTAGGTTGAAAGAAGTGAAACTTTGCACTTTAAATTAGTGAAATTTAAAGTGCAAAGTTCAGAACCAAAGTTATGTTAAATAGTTATGTTAAATAAATGATGCTTTACGATAAAAAAAAATTTTAACATATTTATACAAAAAATTTAAAAACAATTCTTTATCAACCCTTAAAACTCATTTCGTGAATGCAAAAGACCTTATAATTATAAAATTAAAACTTTTCAAAAAAATTTTAAAAAACTTTTGGAACAGAAAAAATAAAAAAGAATCAAACTTCTAAAGCAATTACTATTCAGGAATGAATAATTCAGAAAAGAGCATGATTTCATAATAGCAATAGATTTAGAAAATTACTAATTTATCTGAAGCAAATTTCAAGACACAAAATATTTTTTTTTAAAAATTGAAGCAATTATTTTGTAAAACAATAATTATGTAAAAATAAAGTAGAGGGATTGTCTAACAATAAATTGGCTATTTTAAAATCAAACAAAATTTCATTCAAATTATCTGTTTCCATTAACATTAAATCTGTTTATTATATTGATAGAATCATATCACTAAAAATATCCAATTAAATTGGCTTATTTATAAAAACCAATTATTATGGTCTAATTAAAGAAGCGATTATTTTTACGAAATTAAACTAGTGATTTTAATCAAGGTAATTATTTTTGGGTTTTCACCCCTTCAAAAATTAGATTTAAAATTTCTTTACTTTCCCAATATGGCAAAAAAAATTTAATCTGTATTTCAATTCATTTCTAACTTCTAAAAAACTAAATCCAAATTTTAGTCAATTCTAAACAATTTTATTGGTATCAGAATTCTAAATAATCTAATTATTCAGTATAATTTTTAATTAAATAAATTCGAATTAATATATTTCTTTATTAAAGTAGAAATATTTTCCTTCTTAAATAAATCAAAAGTTACTCAATTCTTGGTAAAATCAGAATTAATCCAATTTTTAGTTAAATTAGAATTAATCCAATTTTTAGTTAAATTAGAATTAAATCAGTTGTTAGTTAAATTAGAATTATATAATTCTTAATTAAATAAATTTGATTTCTTTTTTCAGATGAAATTAATACGCTTCTTAATAAAATTAAATATTATTCAATTCTTACATTAGTTAGAATCAATTTATTCTCCTTTATGCCAATTCTTTTCTGAAATTAGAATTAAAACATTTCTTTTTAAAATCTCCATAAAGAAAACATATTGAACATTTTTTTTTACGTATAAAGAACATTAGTTCGGCAAATGTTTCACAGAAGAAATTTGAATTAGTTAAGTTAGAATTAATTTATTCAACTCAATCCTAATTGTTCCAATTCTTTTCTGAATTAAAATTAATACAGTTCTTTACAAATCTCCAAAACGAATCGAGAATACTTTATTTACATATAAAGAGCATTGCATCGGTAAATGTTATGCGGAAACTAACTGAATTAATTTAATTATATTCTACTTGATTAATTGAATTAGAATAAATTAAATTAAATTAGAATTAATTTAATTAGTGCTTATTTTATTAGAAATTATAATTAATTAAATTAGTACTTACTTAATTAGAAGTTATAATTAATTTAATTAGAATTAGCTGGAATAACTAGAATAACTAGAATTAATTTAACTAAAATCAAATTAAATTAACTAGAATTTAATTAGAATTAGATTAGAATTAATAAATTATTGCAGTCCTTTTCTGAATCAAAAAAAATTCATTTCTTTAAAAATCTCTATAAGAAATCAAACTTTAGTATGCATAAAAGAACATCACTTCGGCAAATGTTACGCAGAAGTAAACACATCAATTTAATTCAGTTAAATTGGCCAATTTCCTAAATGTCTCAAGGCGTTAGGATGCAGTGTTAGCCCTCAAGCATTGACACTAGGCTTTCTGTTCTAGGTGCGGGGACACAGACTGTCAATGGAACAATCCCCAACCTGCCTTCCCCTACCATGCCCACCTTTAGCCATGTGCCTCAAGCAAACGGTCAGGCCGGAGAGGTCTACACTAATGGACTACCCCATTACCCACGTAAGTAACGAATCCATAACCTTTTGCTTTCGATGTTAATACATGTTATGATTGTTCCTTCATAGGTTTTTCACCCTATTAGATGATATTGGCTGATTGATGTTACCCGTGGCTGATTGTTTATATGTTGCTTTGATGTGCAACGCTTTTATCCATGTTTTTTGCCTTTTTTTTTTTAATTTACGAGAAAGATATTACAGAAATTTAAGATTTTACATCTTGCAGGGGTTTTTTTTAGACCTATAATTCAGAAAACTCCAATACTATATGTGTTAAAAATATTCCTGATGTGTTAAAAATATTCCTCATTATTTACGAAAAAGATATTGCAGAAATTTAAGATTTTACATCTTGCAGTTTTTTTTAGATCCATAATTCAGAAAACTTCAATACTATATGTGTTAAAGATATTCCTGATAACTTCATTTTAAAATACACATTTTTTTGTTTGCTAATAAATGTTAACCTAATTTTTCTAGAAGTGTGAAAGAAATTTTCAGGCTAAAAATATTAATTGGAAATCATTTTGATTTCAATGTCCGTAGTAGAAACCTCCATGGTTGCAAGAAATTACCGAATTATGCTTACACAATCATTTACTGCAGTTAGAAAGAGAATTTTAAGTTTCAAATATCAATAAAACATCATTTTAATTTCAATATCAATGAGAAAAACCTCCACGATAGCAAGAAATTAACTAGATATTAATAATTTTAATTTAATATCTAGGTAATGCATAAATAAATTATCTAAATGCTTACAATCATTTATTAAAAAGGCAATTTTAAATTCCAAATATCAATTAGATATCATCTGATTTTAATTTCCTTAAGAGAAACCACAATATTTCAATAATCTATTGAATTACCCGTAAGCGCAATTTCTATCTGATGTGTCAAAATATTATAATTGATGAATTTATAATTCATTTATCGAAATAAATTCGAATAACACTTCTTACGAAAAAAATTCAACCTAAATATAATCGTATGTGAGAAATAACGGTTTAATTATTGACGAATTGATAATAAACAATTGTTATATCATTGCTAAAGCATTTTTTCGTTTTTAATTTTTTTTAACTTTTTTTAATCACAATATTGATAAATATTTATAAAAGTTGACGAGCTGGATAATGGATCATCAATATTTCAATAATGAAAGAGTTCAATATTTCAAATACACCTGAAATTAACATTCGAAGACACTTTGAAATGCAGATAAACAAGGGTTTCAACCATAACAATATGTATTTTTCTTATAAAAATATTTTTATGTATTTAAATAAAAATATGCTACGTAAATCATTTATTTGTTATTCATTGCGAACATTTAAGCCACTTGCCGTTGGTCTAAAAATTGGGGAATCTTAAACTCAGTACTTCCTTTTACCAACAAATAACTAATATGAAACACTTTACTTTATAATAATTTTTTATCACTTTTTACTTCATTTTTTAAGCGTTATAGAATCATAAGGAGAATGTTTTCTAAACTCCTTTTTGCATTACAAATTTACTTTCAATGAACTATATTGACGTTTTATAGTTACTCTATGTTTGATTTGGAAGTTCCCTTGTTTCCTGATTTAGGTTCAAAGTTAGAAGGCTATTGATTTAACGATTCTTATAGCCCTTAACCTGATAAAAATAGGCCTCTTAATGACAGTGATAGAATAAAATGCTCTTAAATTCATCATAAAATTGTATTTTCGAATTGGATTTAATTTTTAATTCAATTACTTTCAGTAAAATCTGCAATTATCAACACAATAACACTGGAATATAAATATTAAGAAGAAGGCTTTACACAATATAATCGAGAGCATCTAGAATAAATTAGTATTTCTTTGATTTTTTTATTACTTCAGCCACAATGCTTTAAATCATAAATTAATCCACAACTTCACATCTCTCAACTTTAGAAATTCTAGAACGTTGCATAAAAGGTTTTTTTTTACTCCCCACTCATCAATAAATAGCTTGATGGTTGTAAGCTGGATCACAAAGTTAATTGGATTAGAAAATTTGTTTAAACCTTGACGATTTAGAACATCTAATCATGTTTAACAAACTATAAAATAGTAGTTTTAAATATATTTTCAAATATTATAAAGAAGTCGTTATAAAATTAATATTCAACACCATTTATCTAATTAATAATAAGAACAATCATAAAAGAGAGCTTAAAAACATTGTATTATAACTTAAAATTAAAAATTTCTAAAATTAACCCTTTGCTTTCCTAAGAAGAAAAATTTACCAACCAGAAATTTCATCAGATTTAAGTATTTAAAGCTGATAATCTTATCATTAAATTTACTAATTTTGGATTATAAATAAATTTTGTACTTCTTAAAAACAGTACAGCTTTTATATTAACCGTCACCAATGTTTGTTTGTTTTTTTTTTTTGTATTAAATAATGTCAAGGAAGTGGGTTACGAATTATTGCAAAAATGACTACTATTAACCACTTAACTTAACAATTATCTCGTACTGAGTTATTTCGGACCGAGTTATCTCGGAATTTTAAGAAAAGGGAGTTAAATTCCGTCTAATCACCAAAAAAGGAAGTCAGAGTTCAAAAAATTTGACGAAACCAGAAATTTTTTCTAAAACTCAACTTTCAACTTCTCTCTAAATCCTCCAGTAATAGAACAAGCTCAGTCTTGAATTCCTCAGAAGTGAGACCTTAGATTTCAATGATATTTTTAAATTTTTGCAACATTAATTTACGTACCCTAAAGTGCATACTTTTTTCAATTTTTTTAATGGGTTCAAAAAATGTATAAAAGTGAGTCATTAAAGAACACCTTACACATTTTTTCGATAAATCTTATCTTATTTTATGCGTTTTTCATAATTGTAATTTATTATTAAAATAATACATTTAGCCATGGGTTCCATTGTTTTTATTGAACCACCTAAGCCAGTGTTTGTATTTATACACTATTGTTTTTACTTTATTATTTATTCACATAGCAGTGTTTAAAATATTCAAGATCATCTCTAATTAAAATTCGAAATAGATAGAAATGAGTTCTGTTTTGTTTTGAAGATTTAAATTTATGATCTAAAAATTCATTCTAAATGCCGTGTATTATTCTAATATAAATATTTTACATTAGGATAAAAATGTAACTCATTAATTAGTTATCAATAGATATTCTCGTAAATAAAATTGTCAAAATACTTTTTCGCAGAATCTCACATAATTTTAGATTTTGATAGTTTTTACTATAGTTAACATTAAAAAAATTTTAAGGTTTGTTGACTTTTTTAGAAGAAATCAAAAGCTTTTAAATATGCTTTTAGCATTTTTCGAAATGATTAATAGGGTAATTCAGCAAGAATGTTACTTTTTTTTCAATTTGTATGCTAAATGTGGTTATGATATTTCGACATGATAGTTCATTTCAAACTACAGTATACATTGACCTTTTAACAATTATTGTAAATGGCGCTATATCAGTTGTAATATTTACTATACTCTGTTGCAAGTTAAGAAAACATCATTATCCTCATGGATAGAGCCTGTTTACATTTAAGTGCGTGCCAAATAGATGTTAAGCTCCCAAGCGCGAACGTATATCATCTTCGCCAACTCTTGAAACTACATTACACAGCCTCTTTTTTGCTTGATTTTTTATTAACAACTATAATCAATTAGCAAGTATTAAGAAATAATAAAAATGTTATCTAAAAATAGTAACAAATATACGTCTTTCTGTTCGCATTTAAAGAAACTGATGGAAGAAAAATAAACATTGTTTCTTGCAGATGATTCTCTTCTACAGCTAAACCAAAGTAAAAATTCTTTATCTTGCATTTGATTCGCTAAGAGCATGTCAGCATAAGGCGCCATTTTTAATGGTCTAATAAAATCCAATGCTCTTGCAACGTTATATAGTTGTTCCGTTTTCAACAACGAACGTTCTTCTTGTATAGAAATAAGTCGCCAAGTCTAGGATTGCAACTATACGAAACTATAACCTTCTTTTTAATAATTCTATGATATATATCGTAAAAGATAGTACGAATTAAATTTCTGTGTTTAACTTTTAAAAGCTTTTATATTGCTTTGAAAGCTTATTTGTGTAATTTGATAACGAAATAAAAACGGAACTATATGCACTCGCGGATGACTACTTACATCCTATACTGCAATGGTCTTTTCTTAACCTGCAACGAAGTATGAAAAAAGGTGGTAAAAAAATTTTCCACAGATGTATAGTTAGTTTGTAACGGAAGTGAATTTTCTTTTATTTTATTTAAATTGTGGCACCTATAAAATTTCATGAAAGTAATTCTTCTGAATTCCGTTGAATACTCAATTTTTAAAATAAAATTTGTATTATTATTTTATCAGTAATGGTGCGTGCATATAAAATTGTATGATAAACAATTGAATTTCATTTTATTTTTACTACGATTTTTTTGTAACCATGCTTGAATTAGTATAATGTATTTTTAACAAAGTAATGCTATTTTTTATTACTGTTAGACTTATTGGATGAAATTACACAGCATTGAAGTATAAAATGGTATTTAAAAATTTCAATTTGTGCATTTGGGATTTAAAGATAAAAACTAGAAAATTTCGCATCTATACACTCCTCACTCAAGAAATTAACAGATTTAATTCTAATTATAGAAGAAACTTTTTTTTAATAACGAAAACTGATAATAACACTATTCTAAAATATTCTTAAGGGTAACAATTATATTCTTTTTGATTTACTTCTAAATTGTTGCCAAAATTAAGCGACATTATCTTCTAAAGTCATATTTAATTAAAATAAAGTTCTAGAATCTCAAGGTATTCAAAACGCAGTCTGAATATATTAAAAACGGTAAATTTAAATGTAGATAAAAATTCTTTTGAGATGCGATACAACTTTTTAAAAAGTTATGCAAATTTTCGTTTTAATTTATTCTAAAGGAGAATATTTATTTTGCTTTCGTTCTACCTTAGAAGTAAGGTAGGTTATTATGCATT